ACCAAAGCATGGAATTCTTTGAAATTTTCTAACATTTTGTCTTTTCTCTTGAAAGCATAAACCCATAGTTTCCAAGAAAAAACATCAATGAAGGTAACTAAATAAAGTATAATAGTAAAGGATTTTACCTTTAACGAACCACAAACATCATAATGTAAAAATTGAAGCAACTTAGAATTCTTTGAGGGAGGATGTCTCTTGAAGGATACTCTAGTCTATTTACCAGCCATGCAATGACCATACTTCTTCAGATCTGCATCCTTTAATCCTAAAAGAACATCATTTTTTGGCCAAAACATTCAACCCCTTTTCACTAATATGACTAATTTTTTGTGCCAAAGAGATGTTTTCATGTCGATAGCATTTACAATGTCGCCAAAAACCAAAACTTTTTTCCAACATAATTTAGAAAGATTCTCCCCTCAAACCAAACCCAAGTTACATTTGTTGAGTTTCCACTTTCCATAACCAAAGTGATTCTCATAACCACGATCATTAAGCATATGCACATAGACTAAATTAAAGCGAGCATCGGAAACATATTTTACACCTTTAAGCAACAATTGCATTCCCATAATGGTTTTTAAGCAAACATCGCCAACACTAATTACTTTAAATACACCATCATTACCCATTTTCAACACTACAAATTCACCAGAAGTATAAGATGTGAATAACTCCTTCCTTAGTGTAACATGTAATGCAATACAAGTGTCAGCTATCCATATTCTTTTGTTTGATACGAGATTTGCAGACTCATGATCACGTAGAATAATAAGTCATCACTAGTATCAGTAGTAACACGATCATCATCATGATCTTCATGATCTCTTTGTTTAGACTTATCATTTTTTTCCTTTGTTATCCCTTTTCTACATATTATAATACTTATGCACGTGTCCTGTTTTGTGACAGTAATGAAATTATATATTTTTGTATCGCGGCTTCGGCCTTGCTTCTTCTATTCTCTCTACCACCATTTGGTTTTTTTTTTACTTCTTCCAAAATTTTCAATGGTAGGTATCTCATATTGATATGAAGAATCTTATGCATTCCTTCTCGTCTCCTTATTAGGAATATCATCCTTAGTCGTTTTCAAAGAAATAACACCTTTGTGATAAGAACTTGTAAATAGAAACTTGAAATGTCTCCCAAGACTCTAGTAAAAGATAACAATGAAAATAGTATCAAAAGTTCATCACCAAATTTGATACTCATTCCTGACATCTCATCAAGAAGCCCTTGAAATTCACTAAACTAATATGAAATAGAAGTCCTCTTCTTATATTTCAAAACTTTTGACAAAAATAATTTATTATTCCCTAATTCAAAGACATACAAGGATTTTATCTTCTTCCACCAAGTTTTTGCATGTGTCGCAATAGCAATCTGATTATAAACATTATCTTCTACATATTTCAAATAAATTCATGTTCAAAGTTTCATTCTTCATCAGACATGGAATTCGACTTTGTATAACTAAAAATCAGTAAATGCAATTTCTTCATAAATAGTGAGTCTTTCATCTTGCCCTTTCACAAATGGTAATTAGAACCATTTAACAATACCATATTCATGTTTTTTATTTGACTACATTATTCAACCAAGTAAAATAACCCTTAAACGAGAGCTCTAATGTCACCCTGATGAGAAATTAATACACAATAACAAATAAATACGCAGCGGAAAAAAATCTCCAAAATTTTAAGAACCTATGAGAATCAATAAATATATGGAAGAAAAACGAATAAATAAAGGCACAAGAGAACACTGATATTTTAACGTAGAAAAATCTCCACATGAAAGTAAAAAACAACGGGTCGCCTAGACCAAAGAAATAGCTTCATAATAATCAAATGAGATTATAAGAGAGTCTTAAAATGATTCACAAACTAGTGCTAACAATAGCAAAATCACAAAGCAAACTAACTTACAAATAAGAAACAAGAAGCTGAAAAAATACTCAAGTCTGAAGCTTTAGTGCGAAGCAATCATCTCTAAGCTCATACTTTATTTTGAAGACCTCAACATTCAAAAGGTAGACAGGGTGTTGCAAACTAGTCAACCAAAAATTAGCTCGATCTAATGGTTAACGAATCTGGAATCACCGATTTACTGAAACTGGTTGTAGAAAAATGGGAATTGGTCTCTCTCTCTCTCTCCCTCTCTCTAATATATTTGAACATTTCTCCACATAGAAGGAAGGGAGACCAAACCCAATACTTGTTGCACCGAAACATATATTCATGTCAGTGAAAGGTTTATATAATTATAACATCACTTAGATCACTCAAAATATATAAGCAAATTAGTAAGCATCAATTAGATGTGAAAGGTCCTAGAACATAGATAAAATAGTTGTTAAAGTTGATAGAAGCATAGAATTATGTTAATTGGAGTATAAAAAGAGATTATTCATATGATATGAGAGATATATTTGAGGCATATCTGAATTCGGTCAAGTTATTGGACTTGATTACAACTGCATTGATTATGGGCAATGCATACAAAACCAACAAATGCAAATAGCAACTATTTGAAATTATCAACATGACATCAATAGAGTTTACATTCATTCTAGCTTTGACATAAATTGAATTTGAGCATATTGGAAACTTTGGTATTAATATTGAATACTGAAGCATGTATTGGAACATAGAAAAGATGACTTGTGTAAATGTTAGGAGAGTATACGTAACAACATAATGTTACAAAAGAAAAGCATCATAGTTTTATTTGAGAAAAAAATCAATGAAATAAGAACACACACAATACTTCATTTTGTTAAAGATTAATTGCATGGTTTTGTATTTAGAGCTTCTCTAAGACTCATTGTAAAAGATTTTGAGAGAGTTGTCGTAGTGGAAACTTATTAAACAACATAGAAGTGCACACATAGAACAACATAAAAATATACTTGTGCTCGTGAGTTAGAAGAATATATGTTGAGTGGTGTTTGAATTCCATTTTATCACCCTCATATTCAATAAAGGAAATTAAGCATAAAAGCTCAACAAGATGCCAAATCGTGATCAAAGGATTAATATGTTTATCCATTTACAAGTTCGATGGACACTTTTTTTTTAAAAGCTATGAATTAATAAACGAGTACAAGGAGTACTTGAACTCTCATAAAAATAATTATAAATTCTTTAGATATTCTCATAGAAATAATTACAAATTCTTTAGATAAACTGTTGAATTACTAAATCAGTCAGACGGAATATTAAAAGAAAAAGGCATGTAACTCTTTCCTAACCAAAACTCCAAATATTTTAAATAATTTTATTAAAATGCATTTTTTATATGAATTATTGTATTTTTGCGCCTGAGATAAAATTTTGTAACATATAATTAATGATAGACATATAAAAGGTAAAAAAATTATTTTCATGAAATAATTACGTGGAGATGCCAGATATTATTTATGAGGTGTCAGATGAAATTCTCATTAGGTTGATGCCCGTGGAGCTATTGAAGCCCACCCATCACAAAAGAAAAATAAAAAATTTAGAAGAAAAAAAAAGAGAGAAAAATGGGTCAAAACTACGATTTTACTTCTCTACCCATCTCACTAGCGAAGTTGTTCCACTTTCTCTCTCTACCTAACAGGTTCAAGTTTCTGGGCAAATAGGTGAAGCAAACAAGTTTCAGGCATTTCTTCCTCTCTTTTTTTTCATATAGATATCAATATTTGATTTTGTATATTTATTGGTGATGGACAAATTTTCTACCGTTGTTTCTCTGCTACTGTTTTCTGAATTTTGTTACTTGAAATTATTTAAGACAGAGTTGTGATTTATGACAATAGTAGTATAAGTGAATGCTTTATAATTATTTGATATAATGGCTCTAAGAACTTTTGTTGGTATCATTAGAATCATGTGCTGAAGATGCCAACGTACTGTTTGATATAATGCCTCAAAGAGTTACAATGAATGTGTTAACAGATTTTCTGGGGTGGTGATTATGATTCTGAGAGTCTTATCTATGTGTTCGGTGTAAGATTGTTTATAAGATAGGATTAATCTGAAAGGGATTCATGTCTTTTGACTTAGTTATGGTGGTTTTATCTTAAACTGTTCAGAAGTTGTTCGTAAGGGTGTTGATGTGAGAAGCATAAGCATCTGAATGCTTGAGTTTATCATGACACCACTCAGTTTTCATTTTTGTTTTCTTTAGTTCATATGTGCAAATATTTGGCTAGAAACACAGGTTTTGATAGAACATTATGACGTAGTTTGATCCATGTAGCTAACCCTACTTAATGTGATAAGGCTTGGTTGGTTGGTGCGAACATCAGGCTGGATTGACATGGTTGGGGATATATGTGTGTAATTTCATCGTTTGTAAAATGTTATATATCTAGTGTTTGCTTCGATTAATGCTCGTGCGTTTCTATGTCTATATCTTTACATCTCAGATACTGTGATGTTTGTTTGATTTATGAAAAGTAAGAAGCGTAGAGGAATGGTTACCTGATGATATTGGATACGTCTTCCTCCTGATGTCATGCATCGACGTCTCTTTCCTATTATTATTGATTGTTGTTTCAAATTTGCATAGTACATATCACTAGTTTTAGAGGAAGGTCTTAATAATATATCAGACAATTTCTTTCTATAATTGTGTAAACTCCAATTCTAACCATGTCTAAGGAAATTTAACATAGATGATCTTGCACCTGTGATACAATTCAAAATATGTAAAGTTAAGAACTGAGAAGTAAGAACCACTTTTCATTGAAAAAAATTATATGGACAGTGTAGTGTGTATTGCGCTCCTGGTACCCTGTCCACGTTTTAGCTGTAGTCGTTGTGGCATGCGTGTGTGTGATGTTTTAACACACATCAGAATCAGTTAGTGTACTCAATTGGTAATTCCTCCGTATTTTACCTGTGATATTTTTGATGGTATGAATTTTTGTTGGCCTGACATGTTGTATTTTACATTTATCAGCTTTTTTTGGCTTAGGATCTTTCTTGATAGAAGAAAGATAAATGGCACATTCTATGAGCTTGATCTCTATCGGCCTCACATTCAATCAAATACCTAAAACTAAACTCAGTGTTAGTGGAAGGTTAAATCCAAGATCTTCAGCACGGCTTCGAATTAAGGCAGTGCAAGAAAACGGGGGACAACGTAGACTAGTGGACATTATTAGACTTGTGCCTGACCTCTCAAAGAATTACTTTCGAAGTCCCTCCCGCAGGACTTTGTTTGGTGGAATCTCCTTGTTGGGTGGATTTTATGTTGCACAAACGATTTCACTATCTTTTGGAGCTCTTGGAGTCAATGATGTTATTGCGGCAGTGGTATGTGTGCTTCTTACTGAATATGTAACTAAGTTCTATTACAGCAGGCCAAAAGTTACTTTCCCTGTTGCTCTTCTCAACAACTTCAAAATGGGTTTCACTTACGGACTTTTCATTGATGCCTTTAAGCTTGCCAGTTGATCCCAAGCATCGAAATGCAACCTCTCCAGATTCTTGCCCACCAAAATTGGTTTGGTTGTGTAAGATCACCAAGCCTGTACATGCTAGAACTGTTTAACATCCAAACGCAACTTCTCAAGAGTCAAGATAGATATTTACATGGTAGCTAATGGCTATTCATATTTGGTCTGGTTGTGTTTAACCACCAAGCTTGTTCATGTTAGAACTGGCTCTAGAACCATCCTCTCATTTGTTGTATATCAGTTTGAGTACAGCAATCTATATATTTAAATTATATCAATTATTTCTCCCTTATATTTTTTCTGTTTCCATTTTTAGCAATTTGTTCAACTGGTATGGTCTTTTACTATTTTTTTGTACCTATTAGGTTCTAAAAAGTTGCAGCTCTTTACATCTATGCCAAGTTGCAGCTCTTTGCATTTCAATACATGGACATCCTACCAAACATGAAAGACATTTCTTTCCTAAATGAAAGAAGATGGGGGTGGTTGACACTTTGTCAAATTGTGTCACGTAGCGATATTGTTATCAATTATCAATAAGTTAGTGGTAGGGACCAAGACCAATGATGATAAGATACTACTCAGTCACTCAGTAACATCATGACTCCAACCACCAAAAGTGCAGCAGCAAGCTACAAGTGCAAAAAAGACACTATCAAAGCATCCTCTCATCAATCACCTCGAGTAAAGAATCAGATACATAGAACAATTAAGAGCATCTCCAATGGTGCAACCCATTTTTGGGTTCTTTGTGGGACCCACTCTTTTAAAGCAACCCATTCAATTTTCACTCTAATAGACTTCCAAGCAGAGTTTTAAAAACTAAACCGGACCGGTTGGACCGGGAACCGGGACACTATTCGGTCTGGTTCAATTGGCAGATCGGCCTCGCCATTGAACCGGTGTGAACCGAAAAAAACCGATGGTTTAATTTTTATTTATTTTTTTTTTTTTAATATACTTAGTAGTGTATTACTTAAATAACATTCTCACATAAAAAATTTTCGTTAGTGATAAATTACAAACTTTATTGGCTATTTGTTATTTTTGCTAATACATTTTTCCAAATAGTTTGTAACTTTGTGATTAGTAACAAATTAGTTACCTTATTAATTTAACTTTTTAAAGTGTTATATATTTTATCTTTTTATATTTTATCACTGCTAATAATTTTAATTAATTATAATTTATAATTAATTATATTTAGTGTCAAAATATTAACAATAGAAAAAGACATGTATTCTGTAGAAAGGGAAAGTGAAATAGTATAAACATATTGAATTTTATTTGGTTTTCTTTTTAGGAGAAACATATTTTACTTACAAATAGTTACCTCTTATTTCATAATAATCAATAAATGATATCATTGATGGGGAAGCTGTTGCAATTAAACTTTGTTTGCAATTAGATTTTAAAATTTTGTATTATTTTGTTATGTGTGATACATTTGTTTAAAATTTGAATTTAAATTATGAACTTGTGAATTTATGATATGATATTTTCAAAAAATTTAAGTACTAGTTATATTTTTTTAAAAACTGAATTATCCGGTTCGACCGGTTTTATATCTATATAATGGCAGGTCTATTCAATCGAGTTATCCAGTTTAATCAGGCTTAGTCATGCGGTTCGACCAGTGACTCAGTGATTCGACCGATAAACCAGTGACCTAATACTCTCACCGATTCGATGATCGGTCCGATTTTTAAAACATTGCTTCCAAATAATCAAATATGCAAGCATTATCAACATTATATTCTAAAATTCATTTTTTTAGCTCCTTGCAGTAAATCCACTTATTTGTGAAAGACCATACAATCCACCGGTATGTATATTCTTAAGGCATTCACATCCATTATATTTATTTTAATTTTTAAATAGATCTCATTCAATTTTTTATATTATATTATATTTTTAATTATTTAAATAATTCAACTAATTTTTTTAAATATTCATACTATTCATTAAAAACTTTAAAATGGATTTCATAAACACCTCACTCTAATTCACATTTCACTCTATTTGACTAAAAAAAGAAGGACAAACATTCCTTAGCATTATATCTCCATATACCCTCCTCACATTGTCTTCCATCTATATCAGATAATTTAGTTTTTCTTTGACAAACGGAAAGTTAGGATTTATTATCTCAATCATATCATATACTTGTTTCTTCTTCTTTTTTTCTGGCTAGCCCTCAAACATTATAAATAATAATCTTCATTAAAATACTGAATTTCTTATTAAATTTTCCTTCAACATATATTGTATTGTATTCTGTTTGATTGATCCTCCTCTTGTCTTGATTTATAAATAATTGTTGCACAATTTCACTCTTCTGAAGATGTTCATCATTAATCATAATTTAATTTTAGGGAAGACAAAATCCTATCTTAAAAAAAGATCAAAGAAAAAAATGATTGGAACCAAAGTATAAAGTTTCCATTTTAATGGAATTGAATCATAGACCAAGATACAATATAAAATTTAGTTATTATAAAATTTATGTGCTCAAAAATTAATCATAAACTTTTAAGCATGCTTTATTTTTAAAATGGCATTTTTAATTTTGAAGTTTTTGTAAATATTAGTCGGACTAATCAATTAACTTATATGTGTCAATCGATTAACAATGACTCTATTTGAATGAAATTTATTTTTTAATTGAAGTCAATCGATTAGAACCATATGTCAATTGATCTACCATTCTATTTTTGAACCATGTCAATTGATTAATCATTCTAGGTAAATTGATTAATCCTTTATTTTTTTCACATAATTTTTCAACATCGAAGTAAGGTAAATCGATTACCTCTGTAGCTTTTGGGGGGGAAAATTGAATCAGCATGATACGTTTTCATTGCATTATTTCATGAACCATTTTCTTCAATTATTGCAAATTATTTCTGATTATTTTCAAGCATTGCATGTCTTTCTAAATGGTGTCTTGTGATGTATAGATAATAGAATAATTTGACTAATAAAAATTACCTTCGTGAACAATTTCCTTCTGTTTTTAAGTGTCAATAAAAATTTATAGAGAAATTTTTCTTACATAATTTTCAATCATATGTAAAAAAGTTTAGTGAAAACACTTGAGCACTTAAATGTTTATATCATCTTGATTTATTTAATGAAGGAGGAGATTGATATTTCAATATATTAGAAAAGTAGCAAAACTCTCAAATTATCAAAGTCTACTGCAAAGTGTATCTCATTACAATTTATTTGTTTTGTGTAATATTCACCAAATGTGTGTTGATTTTTTGTCTGTAAGAAAGTTGTTGTACTTTTTACAAGAGTTTGTAAATAAGAATGGTTGTTTTTCTATTTGTTGTAAAAGTTCTTTGAATCGGGGTGATTCAAAGTCCATCATAATTGTTGGTGTTGTGGAAATCAAGGAAGTGGTTTGATTCTTTGTTGTTGTTAGAAGATTGTAGGAGAAGTTTTGGTGTGAGGATTGTACAAAGATCTAACAATAGTCCAAAAAAAATCATGGAGTGTGAGAGGACTAGATGTACCCTTGATTAAAAAGAGTAACTAGTATATATCATTGTATTCTTTATTTTTCTGCATTTAAATTTAGCGCTTTACTTCATAAGTTCATCAACATATTTATGGAAGGAAAAAAAACATAAAAACATTTCTAAACTGACCGAAAAATTCTAAAAATATAATTCACCTCCTTCTTTTAGATCCCACTTACACTTACAATTAACATCAAAGCAAGTTAAGATAACTTGTTCCTAGATCCAGGTAAAAATGTTTTCTGCTAATTCGGTTTTTAAATATGGTGGTAGTAGCAACAAACATTCATGCTTTGTTGGTGAACACTATAATTTTTGAAATTTTCTTATAAAAATGTGTTTGGAAGCACAGGGAGAAGATATATTGGATGCGGTTGAAAATGCTTCATACATTCCTAAGATGGTCATCAATGATGTAGAACATATAAAAGTGAAAGGCTCTTGGATGTTGGAAATTCACCTCACACCCTATGAAGAATTCCCTTCAATCTTGATCTCAAGATTGATGAACAAACCCACAATATGATAATGATGGTAATAACAAGTAATTATCAAGAAGAACAAAAGAGAAGAAGAATAACAAACAAGAAAGAGAAGAATGAGAGAAGAAATATTTGGAGAGAATATGTTACCCACAACTGTGGGATTTCTTATTGAACTTTCACTTGCTAACTGCAACTGTGAAATCTGTTCTGTTGTGATGTAGAATACAAAGCAAGGCACCCTATTTATAGTTTTAGGTTTACACTAGCCCAAAACATAAAAGGCCCAAAATATTCTAAATCAAATCTAATCATATGATATCAAATCTAATCATATGATATCTAATCATATCATATCAAATTAATCATATGATATCAAATCTAATCATATGATATCAAATTTAATCATATCAAATCACAATGAATTATATTTAACACACCACCTAATTCATTGTGTCTAAACTGTCTACATTCATCATGGCCCTTAGTCTTCTGAAGGCTTCGACCTGCACTCCATTCGTCATGATATTTGTAATTTGATTCTCAGTTCTGCAGTGTTCCAACTTCATCTTCCCTTCTGCTACCTGCTCTCGAAGATAATGGAACCTCATTTCGATATGCTTGCTTCGACCATGAGTTATTAGATTCTTAGCCAAGTTGATAGCTGACATGTTGTTTATCCTCATGGTATTGGATTCAGTCATTGCTTTCATCCACTTCGAATCTTTCAATGCTTCAGCTGCATTGACTGGTTCGACATCTGCATAGAAAGCATAATGTACCAATTCACCCTCTTCATCGACTACATCATCTGATGTAATTACACATTCTTGCGACCTTGCAGGCATGTGTCTTGTTCGTCGAGGTCTGCTTGAACCTGCTTCATCTGCAACTGGTTCCTGTCGAACTTCTATTTCGACTTCAGTGGCTTGTTCTTCACAAGATATTCTCACTGAATCCTTCTTGGCATTCTCGGTCCAATCCCATTC